AATCAATTCTTTATATATTTATGTGTATAAAAGTGGTGAAAGTAAATGGATTCATTCTATTAAAGGCTGGAAAAAGATGCAATCATATGTGCTTTTTGAATTGTGTGCCATATTTGTAAGAAGAATCAGGTCACTTGTTGGTATGGCTTTTTTTTATTTATTTTTTTTATCGCCACACTCTCCATAGGGGTTACCACATTCCATACATTCCTTTAGATAATTATTTTACCTTTACACAGAATTGACCTAATAGCAAAGCAGCAAATGGTCCTTGTTGAGTTCCAATGGGTTCTGCAACATATTGAAGTTTACTGTCCATTGATGAGATCCTTAGTACAGATGAGTAATGAGACTGTGCTGAATGAATAATACTGTTAATGCTGATTCTTACAGCAAGTCCACTCAGTTTTTCTGATTACATCTAGAGCTGGGAAAAGTTTGCATGTGATTACAAGGGTTCAGCAAAGTCTTTAATGGCAACAGCCGGGGAGAACCTGCTTTCCTTCATAGCCCCAAGTTTTCTGCTTACAGGACCTGAAAACATGGAAAGAATCACATATATAGATCATGAAAACCCATGTCTCATTCCCATGGCTTCAGCACTGGGGGTGTCATCATAGCTTGCCATCTACACCTTAACTGCACAATGTGCCTCGCACTGCACATGCATTAAAGGAATACTCCCACCACCTGATAACGTCAGCTGATTAAAGTGTTCCAACAGATTAACCCTCATGTTGATCCTTGGCACCCAACACAGCTGCCCTATGACGGTCTTACTCTAGGCCCAGCAAAACATAGAAAGTACTTTTCCTCTCAATGGATGGAAAAGGATACACTGAGAGAATCAGATGGCGCCATGAGCCTGTCACCGGTCACACAGAAAAACCTTTTCTATACTGCAAATACTGCCAGGGGAACAAATGTCGAGTTAAACTGCTGGAAACTGGTGTAAACCCCGAAGATAAGAGGGCCCCGGACAGTTCGTCCCCATATCAACTTCAATGAGCTATGTTGTTATGGAGATGGGACTGTCACTTTAACAGTTTAACACTTTAAACCCAATGGCAACAGGCTTATCGTTTTACCCGTTCTTCAGACTAGTAAAATGTACATAGTTTTTGTAACTGCATTCCAAATTTTAGGACAAAATAACTGAAGTGCAATGTCCACCCTTGTTTGGAATATGTACAGCCCACAGTCTATGGGAAACCTGTATAGCAGCTGTACACAGTGAGTACATTCATTTATTACATTCTAAAGCGTGGATTAAACGTTTTGGGACAAATTACCATGAAAACATTCTTCTAGTCCACCCTCACGCTCCCGTCCAAAAAATAATCATCTACCCAAAAAAACATCTAGTAACTTTGGAATGCTAATTGCCTACTGAGGCCTGCAGGGCCACATTTCACCTGGATTCTTGCTAAAACTAGGCTGTAGGATGTGGGTCATTCCGCACCCCACCCCCCCCAAAATAGGGAGTACAACATTATGTGGGTTACAGTTGAACTTTTAATTCCAGGAATTGTAGAATATGCATTGAAAACAGTGGAATGAGTAGGTTGGGCTGCGAGTTTTAGCCACTTCCTAGTTGCTAGGGGATTGAAACAAACATGTGACATTCAAAGGTGGATATATTTTCATTTGGTTTTTTTTATGCATTTTTTTTTCATAATTGTTTAAATACACAGAGTCCATGCTAGTCTGTAATGTCCTTTAAAGGCAAGCATGTATGCCGTTTTAGACACCTGTACATCTGCTGTATAAAGCAATTAGCACATTTTCCTCTTGTGCCATGAATAAACTTAGATCCCAAATCACCTGTGTTGGAAGATATATAGGTAACATTGTTAACCATCTGCAGTTTGTTATATTAAGAAGGATGAAGACAGAAGTGAGTACACCATTTAATGTATTTGATAGATTTTAGCCTCATAAATATGCTACATATATTTTTTGCTTGTCATAAATCTTTACAGATTTTGCACAAAATAAATGTTTTGCAGAATGCTGCTTTGGCAAGCCTGTCAAGGATACTACAAACTGGCATATGCCTCCCTCAGTGTTCTCTCCTTATATTGCCAGTTATTTTGTTGTTCAGATCATTTAGTGCTGTCAATGGCTGAGGTGTGTTCATACATTTGATAAGGAAATATTTTTCTCGAATGACTGGGTGTGGCTAAATAGACTGTCCTATGGTGCAACATTCTGCAAAACATTTTTATTTATTTTTTTAATGCAAAAACTATGAAGATTTGAGCATGCAACAAAATACAGGATATTGATTCGATTAAAACCCATCAAATGCAATATAGTAGTATATGTGCCTGTAGTGTCCCTTTTAAAGTGTAAATTGTCCGATAAAGTGAAGGACACAATAGCCAAATTGGAGTTTTAGATCTACTTTGAATTCCTGACAATTCAGACACTCATGTCATGTTCAGCGCCAATGGTATATTGCCAACAAAATATTTCAGCTCTAGAACTGGCCGGAGCAACATTGTTAGAATTCTAATGTAATTTGCCAATTACTACATGTCCTAGAATGTAATAAATAGATGGGAGGGCTGTTCGCTGTTTGTTCCTGTACACAGTACATTTTAAGATTATGTTTCTCCAGAGTTAATTTTGTTAAATGTGTATATTGCAAACAATCGCTCTCTGGTTTGTGCCTATAATTGCTCAGGTGGCTCTGTTCTGTGTTTTAGAGATTTAATAAATACCATTATCTGTGAAAGAACAAGCTTAATTGTACTTCACCTTGCTGTAAACAAATAAAGTGATTAAGATATTTTAATAGGATTACAAATTCTGAATAAAATAGTTGTCTAACAACGAAATGGTCTTTGATAGATTTAATTTTTTGTGTTTTCTAATTCTTTAAATGGATGTTAATGTTTTAAAATGACAAACCGTGTTTTGTTTTACATTCGTTTATAAGCAAGGCACGTATTGGTTTGGCATTGATCAGTCTGCTCAGCACACTGTGTTTGAGAGCTGGGTTTATTAAACATGGTTCATCATCAGAATAAAATATATTTTAATAGGTGTACACTCTTTGAGGCCTGGATCTGTTACCTCTGTAACACAAAATACACTTGCAACCAATGTGCAGATTTACTTTTAAAGTACTTGGTTTTATTACGATTTATTTAGAACACCAATATCCTGCAACATTAAAGGAACACTATAGTCACCTAAATTACTTAAGCTAAATAAAGCAGTTTTAGTGTATAGATCATTCCCCTGCAATTTCACTGCTCAATTCACTGCCATTTAGGAGTTAAATCACTTTGTTTCTGTTTATGCAGCCCTAGCCACACCTCCCCTGGCTATGATTGACAGAGCCTGCATGAAAAAAAAAACTGGTTTCACTTTCAAACAGATATAATTTACCTTAAATAATTGTATCTCAATCTCTAAATTGAACTTTAATCACATACAGGAGGCTCTTGCAGGGTCTAGCAAGCTATTAACATAGCAGGGGATAAGAAAATCTTAATTACACAGAACTTGCAATAAAGAAAGCCTAAATAGGGCTCTCTTTACAGGAAGTGTTTATGGAAGACTGTGCAAGTCACATGCAGGGAGGTGTGACAAGGGTTCATAAACAAAGGGATTTAACTCCTAAATGGCAGAGGATTGAGCAGTAAGGCTGCAGGGGCATGTTCTATACAACAAAACGGCTTCATTAAGCTAAAGTTGTTCAGGTGACTATAGTGTCCCTTTAATATCATTTTGTAGGTAATTACGTTACGCAGTTAAAAATGTATCATTGGCCTGCGAGACAAATTATTAGAGAATGGATATATTACATGTTTAATTTTCATTGTTTGCCAGAGCACAGAGGTAGTGGCTAAAATTCAAATGCCGCTGTGAAGAGTGATACCCTCGTATCCAAATGATCCTATAATGCAAAGTGCAGCATTCAGTAAATCTTAGCATGAGCCTGTGCTATAAGAATTATTTAATGGTGAAGACAGACAAGTATGCACAAGTTAATATTTTATTGTTGCGCTAGTTTACAATATTGTTTGTCTGCATGTCCTAGAAATGTTACTAAAACTGCGCAATAACATCACAGGTGCAATTTCATTTAAATTTCCAGGTTGATCAGTGCTGACCATTGGGAAATCATAAAACCTATAGATAGGTATGTGTATGTATACTAATGAGACTGCAAGTGTAGAGGACTATAATGTACACATAATGCAATAACACATGACCAAAATAGCAAATGGATGTGTTAATAGATGGACACAAATATCAAAGGCGGCCAGAACAGGCATATTTAAATGTGACCGTTCCTTTTAATTTTCTTAGTGTTGGATTGTAAATCATTTTCTCAACTTTCCACTAGATGGAGCAATTACCAAGAAATGTAAGTAATTTATCCTGAAAATGGACAGTTACTGGCTGGTGTTCTCAGGATTGTTAAAGGTGTAATGCAAGCAATATAAGCATTTATTCTCTTTGCTCTGTGTATGCTTACCTACACCCATTTTCCTGCATTCTATTATTGAAAGCTGCAGCGATTTGCATGCATTGCTACTGCTCTAAGCTCACTCCCTCTGCGCTCAGTGACATCGCAAAGGTCTAAACCTGTTTCAGGCAGAACACAGCCTTCTATATCCGTAACCCCAAATGTGAGGTGAACAAGGGATCATTGGGGACTACCCATTATTCATGTTTTAGTGTGTGTCTGTGTGTGTGTATATATATATATATATATATAAAACAATGTTTTTCTTGGCACTCACCCTTTCAAATGTGTAGCTCAATATATATACACACACACCTTAAAAAGTTCTTACCAGTCTGGAGTGCCCTTTTAAATAACCTGTGTTAGTAACTGTATAGCTATCTTTTTTAAATCATAGGTAAATCGTACAGATATGTGAAACTAAACCTAAAAATTGGCTTTGTTTTTACGGTTTATGTTTATTGTGAAAGAGAGATCAGAGGTTCTATAAATAGTTGCCAATTCACTTCAAAAAGGCCACTCTAAAGATGTCACTTTTTAAAAACAAATATTACATAACTGACCTTTGCAGCAATACATGGATCCTGACAGCAGAGGGTACCTGGAGGTTGCACAACACGAGCATTTGGGAAAGGCCTTACCGTGTCCCAACAACTTTGATGGCACTTTAGACTTTGCGTGTCCAGATGTCATGTTGGGCATCTGGTGATGTATAGCATTTAGTACGCAAAAAAAAGTGTAAGAGCAAATGGAGGTGGTGAGTGGATAAAGGAGCAGAAATGTGTATTCTTTCTATAGGGTTAGGTTGTGCTAATATTATAAACTGTGCTAGAACTGCAAACAAATGTATAGACCATGAGGAAAACCTGTATGACCCCCATCGCATTTTGTGGTATTTGATATAATGTTAAAATAACACAGTCTTCGCTGGATAGATGAATTTGCTGCATAAGAGCAGAATGAAAAATGTCAACTGTTGTATATAGTTTTTGTGTGTGTGTTAGTCAACCTTTAAATTTCAAATATCAGGCTACATTTTTCTTTAATAGTCTCAAAGAAATTAATGATGACCATTTTTTTTTTCCATTCAGAGGTAGAGCTAAGGAACAATATTGAGCAACTGTAGTACTTATCCACTAGAGCGAGACTTCAAAGTGAATTTCAAATTTCTACCCAAAATAGCTCCGTTTTAAACATAGATTTAGAGATTTCTTCAGTTCTGCTTTTGTGGTCTGAAACTTCTAATTAATTTTGAATTTCTGTCAATTCACAATGTACTAACTCCACAAATCGATTAGATTATATTGATTAGCATTGATCACTTTCAGCAAAGCCTGTATTTTCACAAAACCAATAATCTATTTTCTCAACTCAACCCGGGAAGCTTTCCCCAAAAATGGGTGCCAAAACTATCCTGAATGTGAAGGAGACTCTAATCTTTTTCTCTGATAGAACTCACTGGTTTAATTAATCAAGAATGCTTTGGAAAAACGAAAACTTCTGCATTTGATAAATTAATACTGCAAACCACATTTTTTTAATTACTGCCCTAAAGCATGCTTTTTTGGGGTCTGCTTTTATGCCTCCTTGATATTAAAATGTCCCTAGGGTCTTTCTGATCTTTAACACATTGCACTGACATTAGACTGACAAATTGGCTGTCGAGTAGCCTGCAGGCTTGACATTAACACAAAATCCTGCATGATTATAATGAACCCATACCAAGAGAAAGCATTTTATCGCCTTCATAAACTTAACTCAGGTTACCTTTTGACCTGAATGGGTTTATATTTGGGGCCGATTGTTCATTCTATACCACATATTCAGGCATTCAAGGTCTTTAGTAAAACATTGATTAATCGTCTGGTTAGAATGACTGCAGCACGGGCAACAGAATCGATAACCTAGTGTACAACTGGGAATGAATGAGGATTCTGAAACATATCAATTTATTGCAAATCTGTCAACTACTTTTGGCTGTAAAAGCATTATGGGAGATGTAGTTCACAGTGGCGTACTAAAGGTCCGCACGGGTGCCACTCAGTAAGGGGGTGCCATGCTCTGTACCTCCTGCTGCTTCAGCAATAATATCCCCTCCCTCGCGGCTCTGGCGCTCACTCAGTGAGTCAGAGCACAGGGAGGGGATTCCCAGTCTGTATTCGGAGTCATCGCTGAGCATCACAGAGGTTGTTATGGAGTATACCAGCAGGGAGACGCAAAGCGTGTATTCTGCCAGGTTGCTCCCCCGCGGCCACTCTGAACATGCGGGGCATCAGAGTCAGGTTCTCTAGATCCCCTGCGTGCACCTGCTGCACTGCCTGACCCTGGGCTGGGATGGAGCTGGAGAGAGAACCCCTGCTGCACCCCCTGAATGGTAAGATATTATTGTAAATTTACCCGGTGAGATCCCCCTCCTCATAGCCATATAATACCCTCCCTGCCATATATCCCTAATACCCTCCCTGTCCTGTACCCCCACCTTATCATAATACACACCCTGTCACACACCTCCGCCTTGACCTAATACCCTTCCATATAACACCGCATCCCATTGTTCTCACCCCTAAAATATAACACCAACCCCTGCCATATAACACCATATACTCACCACCTCACCTGCAGTCACCTCCTTCAATCCAGTGTGTGCAATGGCACACACAGTCATCGTATCCACCACACTGTCCCACCCTGCCATATACCTTTCTCCTGCTTGTTATACTCACCCACTTACATATACCTCCACGTTGTCACATTCCCCCATGCAATATCACACACTAAGTCCCAGGTACATACAACTGTTTCCCCACTACACCCATTACACGCAGGCTCGCATTCACAGATTACATATGCAGTCACACACATTGCTTGTACATAGGCTGTCACAAACACACATTTTCACACAAGGGGCTAGGACAGATATTTACTGGGAGGCAGTGAGATTAAACATTTTTATGGACCATATAGGAGTTTGTGTGCGCCCTGCAGTAAGCCGGCAGCTGGGATATGATGTCATCCTGGCATTGGCATCACTACTGGGCATGCGAGTTCCCGGTAGTTCACAATATCTACCCCTCTCCTACAGGAACAAATCCGAATAACCACAATAGAACATAAACCAGGTAGATAGTTTAACCCTTCTGTGAGCACTGTGATATGTTGCTTACCTCCATGGCACACAGACCGTTAATAGGGGAATTCAGGGTCCTTGCCACTATGAATGGCTTCTGTTAGCTACAAACAATAGGTTTCAAAGCACAGGAAATCCCTGTTGTGCAGTTTTATAAGCAAGATGAACAATCACATAACACTGCAATAAAATGGCTTAATTACTGGACAGTGCTAACACCTAGAGTTCCAGACCACTTGCGGTTTTACATTTCCATTTATTGCTTTTCATTAAGTTTGCCCCATGTATCGCTAAGCAGTCAGGTCAGTTATACATGTTGTACCCTGACCTGGTTTTGACCCATCTGTGTACAAGTCCTACCTTTTCATATAAAGTCTATCTAATGTTTTCTAATAACCCTCCCAAATAACTTGATGTACCTGAGCAGCCACCAAAGCATTAAACTGGCATTTCACTTACAAGCACATACAGGTCTATTCAGCAAACCTAATAGTCACAATGGAAACCTACTCAAATGTGGCTACTTTTAGGATAACTATTTTGGCCTAAAATGAGCAGTTTTCTGGGAAATTCAAATTCCTGCAGGACTGTTAAGAATTCTCAGAATTGAAAGTAAATTTCAAATTTTAGACCTAAATTGCCAAACGAGAAGCAAAGCTGACTTGTACAATGTGTTTTATTATGACCTTTAATTTGAAATTCACTTTCAATTAACTTTGAATTCTGGCCAATTCTCATTTTTAGTAAATAACCCTGCTAGTGTAGTGAATAAAAACCTTCATGTTAATTACTAGATTTACTAGAACACAAACCGTAAAAAAAAAAAATGCTTTATATTTTCCATTTTTCCCAAATTACTTTTGTAGTTTTCTGAAAAGGTTAACTAAAGTGTGAGGCGTCAGGAATTCAAAATAATTTCCAAATTTAAACTCCAGATAAATGAGCTGAAAACATCACTAACCTGGAGAATTGTGGCCAAAACTTTAAGTTGAATTCCTGACAATGTACACTATACCTCTGCAAACGTATAGTGTGCATGACTCCATTTTCTTTTTTGCTACAGTCTGCACTGAACTCGCAGCCTCTGTATCAGACCTACTTGTCTTTAAAAAAAAAAAGTAAAAGAATTATGAAACACGTTAACATTGTTTAACTTTCCACTCGGATAAAATTTCAGTGTCGTTCACCAAATTTGCCAAATTTATTTATAGAAATCACTTTGTGGGTGTGTGTTTTTTTTTTTCATGTCACCTTAATGCGATAAAGTTATGTTCCTCTGGGTGAGCTGTACGATTGTCAAACTTGTATGCTACTCATATGTCCCACCAGGTGGGACATACGATCGTAGTGAGAAAATTAAAATGTCCCACCCTGTTGGACAGTCGAGGGGAAAGGGTTAAGAAAAGGCAACAGGAGGGTAATGAAAACTCCCTTAAGTAACTTATTACAGTCTGAGATGTATCTGATTGTATCATGTAACCCCTGTTATGAAATCAACACCACAAAGTGTCACCATTTTAGTTTTTTTGTTATTTACTAAATTGAGAACTCAAAGTGAATTAAAGTGTAAGGTTAGAGTAGCCAAACTCAAAGCATTGTTAACTTAGAGAATTATTTTAGTTCGGCTATTTTGACCTTAAATTAGAAGTTAATTTTAGTGATTAGCCCTGTACATATCAAATGGACCAGTGAGGTGGAATATCTTCTGTAGAAACTGAAACACTGGCAACATTATCCCAGGAATTCACTAAATAGGTAGTGGAACCTGAGATGGGTTCATCAACCTTATCCGTAGGAATTCTGCTAAGAACACTGGCTGCACCTCGAGGTTACACCGCTGGGAGGAAACATGCTGATAATCAGTGAATCACCAATTCATTGACTGTATATAGCCAAGGTAAGCAGGCTCTGAGTATGTACAGCCACTCCAGCTCAATTCATGTTAAGGTATCAAACTAGACCTGTTTTGGGGGCTTTACTATAATGTTAGTCTTGTTATAACATTAAAGTTCAGCTTGTGGAGAACGTATGTTAATGTCGTTCAGCAGATGAACTTCCTATTGATACTGGCCTTCACTACTTGCAATTGACGCACAAGGAGACATTGTCCCTTATATGCATTTCATAGCGTTGGAAACATCATGGAGAAGTGTTGAATATGCTCAGTAAAGAGGACGGCAAATGACAAGATTTACTTTATTGTTGACTTTCATGACATGAAACAGAAAAAAATAGAGATATATATAGTTTTGTGTACACAACCTCCAGCATTCTATGGGCGACAAGACTTGTCCATTAACAGTTTGAATTGCGAATGTTGTGTACTCCTCTGACAGACTGTGTGGGATACATATTGCTAAAGAAAATGTGACAGGATGGGGACACCTGAAATATATCAGAATTAATATTAAAATTATGTAAAATTACAAAGAAGAAAAATAGAAAAGCAATAACATACATTTCAAGACAAACAGTAACTATATGTGGGTTAAATAACAAGAAATTGCAAAGATCCAGAGACATTTCAGCTGTTATTTCAATAGGAATTCTCTACATATTCACCAATTAAAGGAACACTATAGGGTCAGGACCACCCCCTTTTACCCCCGTTAAAAGCATTAAAAAAAAATTAATTTATTGCAGCGCCGTGCGGGTCCCGAGATGCTTTTCCAATGGGAATTGGATTGGCTAAAATCGGCAAGGGGCGGGGCCAAACACCGTTTTGGCCAATCAGCACCTCGTCATAGAGATGCATTGAATCAGTGTCCCCATGCAGAGCGTGGAGACGCTGAACGGCAGGGCTACTTACTGTTCAGCACTGAGCCAGGAAGCCCCTCCAGTGGCCATCTGAGGGGCTTCTGGTGACTTTGTATGTGTATAAATGTGTACCTACACACAAACACAGATCAGAAGATGCTTCAGAGTTTAGAACATGATGTAAATACATTTCAAATCAATATTTCTGTTCTCAGAGGAACTTTGTCTTTATAATGTTTGAGGTTATTCTAAAGGGATGTAATTTATTTACCTGTAGTCAGACCCTGTGACAAATTAGAAAATCGATGTAGTGGTTCTCTGTGGACATTATTTGAAGGTGTATTGGCTTTCTGGGAAGGTAACGGTAGAGTTTACACCAAATTAGATCAATGCAGGGTCTGCCCAGGAGACGTGACCTATATAATCACACAGGACACACACCGAGAGGGGGAGCTGCCGCACTGACAGCAATAGGCCAGCTATGGAGTTAAAAGAACGCAACAAACAACCCAAAAGGACGATACCCACCTCCATCATTCTGGCCACCTACCAGAATTGTACCATGGCCAGGCCCCGACTGGCCCTCGGGCACACCAGGCAAGTGCTCAGTGGGTCGCAATGGCTATGGGCCGAGGCAGGCAGGGGAGGTCACAGGATCTCCCCGGCCGGTAAATGCAGGACCTGCGCTATCAGAGCGTCAGCCCCGCTGTGTGCCTTCATGAGGCGGTGGGGAGATCAAAGATCTCCCTCACTGGCCCACAGGCAGTGTATTGTGGCCGCCGGCTGGGGAGGGAGACAGGAGAGGACCCGGAGGAGCTCTATCTTGCAGCTCTGCCGGGTTCCTCTCGCGAGATCCGGAGCATTGTCATGGCAAGAGTTTACTCACAAGGCTAGAGTTCACTCACCACTAGGACCACCAGGGATGGCAGCACGGTCCCCCCTCCCAGGCTAAAGGTAAGAAGGGAGGGGAGATAAAATGTTTGTTTTCTCTCTTTTTTTTTTTTAATAAACAAAACAAAGAAACATATTTTAACATTTACTTGGCTCTCAAACATACAATCCCTCCAAACATTCTCTCACACACACTAGATCTCCTATACACACTCTGGGTCCTTCAAACACACACTACATTTCTGACATGCACACTCTGGATCCCCTCTATATACAATA